TGCTGTGATCATAGTTTTTATTTATAACTCTCACTAAATGTTTTTATAAATGAAAGTTTATAATCTGCTGTCATAGTTTCCATATCAATGCTTCATCATGCCATGAATAGATAATCATTTCCGCTGTAATTTCTGATCACATGCTTATATTCCGTTGTTAAATTAAATTGTTCATAACTCTGGTAACATGATTACATTCTGCTGTATAACAATAAATATTATACTATGATGTTGTAATAAAAGTGATGTAAGAAATGGTCAAGAATAATGTAAGCTTTATTCTCTTATTTGTGATCCTAATGGAAAAATGTGGATTTTCGGGTTCTCCCCTGAGGTGCGCCCGACGGAACCGAGTAATTTAGTGTATTTTCCTTTGGGTGCTTAGTGTCTAATGGAAGACGAGCACTCCTGAGAGACGTTAGATTAGGTGGTTCTGCCACAGCCCGCATCCATCATTGGGTTTGAAAATATAGGGCATATTAGGATATAAAATAGTCAAACTTTTGTAAATGTAGACAAAAAATGCTCAAAATATATGCATGCTTTGTACACAAAATTTGTATCAATAGATTCACATTCCATGTCTCTTTTCATAGAAACTAATTTTGCAAGAATTAATGATATGTTGTAAGAGTAATTAATGGTCAAAATATACTTATAAAGACTTTTCTAAATCCTAATACGCCTACAAAAAGAAATATATGGAGTAATTGACAAAAGCATACCGATCCCTACTTATTTATTACTCACGACAACCATTTTTAAAAACCAAAGCCAAGTACTTGAACGAAAAGATAACACAATTATTAAGTTAGTTGCACCCTATGCACATTTATAAGAGATAAAATGTATCAAATCATATTTTGGTGTAAAATAAGAAATTAAAATGAAAAAAAACATGGTTCACTAAGAGAGATGTATAAATGGTAGAAATTAATACATTAAAAAAAGCAAGCTTGATCTATTCGTAGTGGGAAAAATTGCAAGCAGTCATTCAAACAATGTAACATATATATTCTCTCCTCTTGGACCGGTTGGTGTCAATGGGAATACAGAAAAAAAAAACGAGATTGGAATTAAGGATATATGAGCTATTGTAACAATTTGGATCCCATATCAAGAAGTACCTCGCACGTTGTTGATGGTACGGCTACTTGTGAGGCTGTGACAAGATTGAATTGCAATGACCTCAGATATGTAAATTTTTTTTTTGGGAATGCTAGAAAGTCATTACTATTTGAGAGCAGGGACATCAAAGTGTACATAAGATGGAATTGCAATGACCTCAGATGTGTATTTTTTGGGAGGCCTATTTTCAGAGACGCAGACGCTGATATACACAAGCGGACACTCACTTCTATAAACGCACGGACACCCTACCCCTATGAACACGTCCGAATAACTTATCAGAGCCTCTTTGTAAAGGAATTTGTCCTAAGAACTTTTAGAGTTCACCTTTTTCCAAACAGGAGTTTCTTGAACAGTTTACTGTTATATATAGTAAACCCATCAATTCAGTGATGTTGGGGAGCTGCTGAATTGGTGTCTTCTGTCAGCCTGTTCGTTTGTTGGTTTCAGCCAAGGCTTATCAGTCAGTCAACAGTGTTTTACTCTCACAACAAATCAGCACCAATTAAGTTTTATCAACCTGTAAACCAAAACAAATGAATATGCCGTATATATCAACCCAACTCCCTAAGGGCCCATCACAAGTCCTTGTTTAATGCGGAACTAGACTAATCTAACCTCATAAAGACTGTCTGTCCCCATCCTAACAGCTAGCTCGATCAGGATAATCGATTGATTAGCAGTAGTAAAACGGCGGATCATGCCGCCCTGCCCCTCTAGGCTCTAGCTACTCCTAGCTAGCCAGGAGGATGCATCCATGTCGGCCGTTAAACCAATGTTTAGTTCAAAAACTTTTCTTAAAAAGTGCTACAGTATCTATCACATGAATTCTTGCGATACGTGCATGGAGTATTAAATGTAGACGAAAAAAAAACTAATTGCACAGTTTGGTTGGAAATTGCGAGACGAACGTTTTAAGCCTAATTAATCCATAGATTAAACACTAATTGCCAAATAAAAACGAAAGTGATACAGTATACCAAATTCCAAAATTCACTCCACTAAACACGGGAATGGGGATTGGCCACCTACCCCTGCCGCCATTGCTCCGCGCTATCACGCCCGTGCATTTAACTCGGCCGATCTCCCCGTACGTCCGGTCCACACTCGACAGCGCCATGACCATGATGCGCTCGCTCACCTGTGCGTGGCCGTGTGCCAACTGCAGCTGATGCTGCCCATCCTGCCTGTGAAACAATAAAGCGTGTCGTTGACGTCTGACAGTGTTGGCACTTGCATGAAAGGGTACCAGTATCTAAATCAGCCAATCGTCGCGCACCTATGCCTGTCCGTATTGTTACAGGTTATCGAAATCAGCCAATCGATTTGCAAAAAAGAAGAAAGAAAATGTTATCGACAGTAAGATTTATGTTGTTTAATCGATTTCGCTTGGCAGGTAGCAGGTGCAAGAGAAGGAACATGACCGCGGCCACATTAACCGTATAAAACCTAGCGCAACGCTATGTTAGGCAGCATTGGCGGTTTGCTTTCGGTGGAAAGTGATAGCGATTAGATGCTAGCGACGAAAGATAAGACGGGGGAGATATAAACAAAATCTCCAACTCTTTTTTACCAAGGTACGTGTGCTACTGTAGCTCGATATTTTTGTTTATCAGTTTGGGCTGTGACGTGCGATCGAGCGGAAACTCACACTGAGAACCTGACAAAAAAAGTGTCGCTTTACGGTACAGCAGTGTGTGGTTGGGAGCTAGTAAACTAAACCGCGCGGTAACTAAACAGCATGGTGACACTACTACGAGTAGATGTTTTACATTGGCTATCCCTAGTGAGAAAAAAAAATAGCCGTCATAGGTCAGGGTTTGGACCTTCGTACACGCTTCCAAACCCTGATGCCAAACAAAGCGATAATGATCTTTTAACGAAGCACTGGCCTCAGCATATGCGTGCCCGTTCTTTCTTTCTGTGTAGCAATCCAATGAATCGTACGTTAACAGATATACATGAGATTAGATCGTAGCAGGCCAGTAACTAAGCAGCTAGCACTAAGTTTTTTTATCGATATCAGCATAACCTTGTTTTATCATTTATCATGGCCGCCGCCGCCACCGGCAGCGACTACCAAAGTTTTCCAAGCATGGCTGCAATCATCATGTTCGTTTGTCGCCCATGTTTATCATTATATGATCTGATGTTTTTTTTCACAACAAAATAATATCGGTCGGGCTTTATAAACCAGCGAAACGATCGACGAACGGGATGAATTTCTGTGGACGCGTGGTGTGTTTTTGGGAAACCAGTACACTCGTACCGTCCTACGTCAGATGACGCTGTGTTATACGCAGTACAAGTCACGGACGACGCTTTTGCCGCCAGACGCCACACCCGCACGGCCGCACCGCGGCACCGGGCAGAAGCAACCACAGCCGGCGGAGTCGCGTCGCCCTCGCCCACCGCCGCAATCTCGCGCGAGAATGACGAAACAGCGGATCCAACACACGGTCCATGCCCGGCTCGTTGCCAGCAACCAACCAACCCAACCCAACCGAGTCACCGCTGCCAACGTCCGTCCGCGGTCCGCCGCCGATGGCATTCATGACGCCGAGCCGAGGGCACACAGCCGCGCGCACGGCACGAGCAAGTTGCGTTGCGCGGGATCCATCAAAACCCGCTGCCTTTTTCCGCAGGCCACACAACAGCCCACAGCAGGGCCGTGCACGCCGGCTGCCGCCCGCCGCCGCCCCGCGCGCCCCCCGCCCCCGCCCCCATCGCATCGCCGGGGACGCGACGGCCGACGGGCCGAGCGGGCTCCGGAAAGGTGCGGCGGCATATATAGCTCCTCTTACCTAACAAGCGCCATAAACTGATAAACAAATGGTGGTCGTGACCTTTACATGACCTCACGCACGGCCTGCCTGCCTTCTACGCTCGCGGCGTGTTTAGTCGAGTGAAAGTTGAAATTTGGCTATCGTAAAGACTTTCGTTTTTATTTGGTAATTAGTATTCAATTATGGACTAAATTAAGCTTAAAACGTTTGTCTCGTGATTTTCAACCAAACGCTGCAATTAGCTTTTTTTTTTTCATCTACATTTAACGCTTTCCATGCACGTATTATAAGATTCGATGTGATGGATCATTGTATCACTTTTTTGAAAGTATTTTTGAAACTAAACACGGGCTTGGTTACTCCTCCATTACCAGCAGTGGTAAGCACCTTTTATCGCTGAGGATAAGCAGCAGCGGCACGGAAAGACGAAGCGGGCGTCGCCGGCCGCCTTTTCTCTCTTCGAGGGCGACTCGAACAGTGTACGCTGCTGGCTGGCGGCTGCTGCCACTACCACAGTGCCACAGTGGTGCATACCGGTAGAAAGAGGCACACACCTATGACGACCTATCCTTTTGTGCTGTGCGTCGTGTGTGTGATGAAAAAAAAAAAAAAAGGCAGGTCAGATTGGAAAAGCGTGGTCTAACTCACGAGGCGCTTTATCGGGACTGCACGGTTAGGCGATGGTCACATGCTGGTGTAGTGGTTTGGTAAACGTAAGATCTGGCTTAGGCCTCAGCACATGGTCCAGCGTTTGTTGTTCCTGAGACCACACGGCCACACGAGCACTGAACCTAGCTAGCCCTCCTGGAAACGGATTGTCAATTTTCAGAGACCTAGTAAGCAGCAAGTATTATTGCCCATGAACCATGATCAGTTGGTGATGGTAATTACAGAGAAAGAAAGAGGAGACAAAATGGAGCAACAAGAGAGAGCAGCAGGGAAGACCCAGGGCACAAATCCTCGCTTTTTTTTTTTCCTTCACTCACTACTACGTATTTTCACCTAAGAAACTAACCAAATATCATCCAGGTGAGGTGACAAAACAAAACGAAGAAGGGGAGGTTACAAGAGAGAAGAGAAGCGCTCTCATTTCATCTCGAGGCTTCTGAAGTCGAGCATGGCGGTCCTGAGCCCGAGGAAGTTGCTGCACTTGCAGTCGGTGCTCTTGGGAAGGCCCAGGCTGCAGCTGAAGCAGAGCCCGGCCTCCCGCTTCACCGGCTTCATCACCATGGCCTTCTCCTCCTGGCACGGCGCCGGCGGGCTGATGCAGAGGTCCAGGTTGAGGTCGGGGCACTTGAGCGGCTTCCCCTGGCCCCAGTCGCCGGCGGGTGGTTCTGATGATCGCGGCCGATCGCCGCCGCCATCGCCGCCTTGTTGTGCTCCTCCAGCCGGAAGACGGCGCCCTTATTCTCGTCACGGTCACGGGCGGCCGCCGCCGCCGCCTCGAACGATATGGTTATGTTGGACGTGTGCTCGTTGATGGGCCGGTGCGTCACCGGGTCGATCCCCTGCTCAGCAGCTTCCTCCGGATGTGAGTGTTCCAGTAGTTCTTGATCTCGTTGTCCGTCCTGCCCGGCAGCCTTCCAGCAATCAGGGACCATCTGTACCATACCGAACAGACACACAGTTTAGCAAATGAATGGTGTAAATGTTGCAGGCGGCGACGGCGAGGTATTGTATCGGAGAGGGAGGCCTACTTGTTGCCGAGGAGGCTGTGGAGCTTCATGATGAGCTCGTCCTCCTCTTCCGTGAAGTTGCCGCGCTTGAGGTCGGGCCGGAGGTAGTTGATCCACCGGAGGCGGCAGCTCTTGCCGCAGCGCAGCAGGCCGGCGGCCTTGGGCAGCGAGCGCCAGCACCCCTCGCCGTGCGCCTTGATGTACGCCACGAGGCGGTCGTCCTCCTCCTTGGTCCACGCGCCCTTGTTGGTGTGTGCCTTCTCGCAGCACGGCGACCTCCCCATGATGGAGGTGCTACGGGCGGCCACCGAACCACCGATGCTACCCTGGCTGCTTTCCTGGTCCTTTTGCCGCCGCCGCTTTCTTCCCTCCTCGCCTCTTGGGTGGGTTGCGTTGCGGGAGTGGATGTTGGTTGCTGCTGCTGCGAGTGCGAGGTGCGAGCCAAAGGCCCAAGCGGGGCTGGATTTTATAGGGACTTGACTGGGGTCCAGTTTAGTTTTGCAAAAAAAATTTGCAAAATTTTTTCACATTCTCCGTCACATCGAATCTTTTGGACGACGCACGTAAGAGATTAAATATAAATAAAAAATAAAACTAATTACACAGTTTAGACGAAATCCACGAGACAAATCTTTTAAGCCAATTAGACTATGATTGAATACTATTTACCAAATAACAACGAAAACGCTACAATATTCATTTTACAAATTTTTTTCCATCTAAACAAGCCCTGGATCGCGGGAGGTCTTCTAGAGGCCGGGCTGAGTTGGTGGCAAAAAGGTTAGGCCGCCGGCCGGTAGCGGTAGGCCTCCCTCTCTGCTCTGCCCCAAGCACCGGTCATGATCTCATCACTGCCCAACTGGTTTAGTACCAGTTTCATTCACAAAGCAAAGCACAAGGCCACGGGGGCGCGGACACAGCGCCACGGCCGTGGTCCGTGTAACGGAACCTCCGGCAGCGGCGGCGGCAGCGGCAGCGGCAGCGGCAGGTAGGTGTAAAGTGAGGTAAGCGACGCGCGCGCGCGCCAACCGTGTGTGTGGGGGTGCTGATGGATGGACATGCACGGATGGGGGTGCCGATGGATGCCTACCTCTCTCTCTCCACCACCACCACCACGCTGGGTTTAACAGCTAACTAACAGCACCGCCACCGCCCCTGTTTGGTTACGGCGATGGATGGATTAGGTTCATCGCCCTTTTCTGTCGCTGATGCCGATTTGCCAGGCCCTCCACCTCCACCCCACCCCACCCCACGTCCTCATTCCGTGAAACACAGGTGCCCTGCACAGGAGGTAAACATGAGAATTACACCACGCATGGGGTGGGTGGGTCATCTGGCTCTCAACTCCTGCAAGAGAGAGTGAAGTTTGGTCAGATCAGCAGGTGCATGCAGGTAGTTTTCATCCTCGGACACTACTATGTCGACATGAAAATGATTTCTGATGTACACTAAGACATTACGTTCAAAAAATGTACACCAAAACAGAGTAGTAGCTGTATACGGGTCGTCATTCATGTATTTTTTTGTTAAAAAAAAAACAGACTGATCTCACCAGCTCTACTCATCTTGACACCCTCATCCTCTTTGTTTAACAACAAGGCTAATGTTTTTGGTGTACCCACAAACCCATATGCTGATACCTGCACTAAAAAACACACAGGACAGGGTCCTAAACTAAGGGAACCCTAATCATGGACTTCCTTTCCTTGCTTGTTTATTCAATTATTCCAGAATAAAAGAGTGATTCGGAATTCGCATATGGCACCCCTTAAATGGATGTTATTGGCCACCCACCGTATTGTTTAGTCTCTTTTTCCAGAACAATGTTGTTTCCAGAATCATAGATATTGTCACATTCTGATCAACCTACTTCCATGTGGAGCATTTGTTTAATATAGTACCCTCATATAGTAGGTTAGCTCATCTGTTTGGTCAACCATAAATTAAAAATTCACCAAACACATTACTACAGCTCCAGCATCTGTATCGCTTATCTTTTCGCAACAAGGCAGATCGTATGGATATCGTATTTATATAGGGCCAATCAGCTTGGCGATAATAATTGAACATTATTAGTGATCCTTAATAATACACCTACTATGATCAGGTCCTTCTCCACTCCTTAAACATGTGCATTCTATTGCAGTATCGCTCTTTTTTTTTTTTTTTATGGGTAAAAGCAAGCTTTATTAACTAGATGCAAAATTACAATCAGTTTGACTATTAATACAAATACCGAATTTATCCAGGCTTATAATTTTCTACCAAAAAAATAGGATATATTCTGCACTGCTGAAAGCAGCCGATTGTGTGGAAAATGGGAAGCAGATGAAATTATAACTCTGCGAGGTGGACCATTAAAAACCCAGCTGGTGTTGTTACTTGTTAGGAGAAGCTTACATATCCGTGACAAAACCCAGCTGGGGTTACATTATACTATCTGCCTACCTAATATATTCGTTTCGGGATGGTTACCAAACTATGGACCATATAGTTGGTTGGGTGCAGGAGAGGAAATATCCCAAACCCCATTAGTTTTTAGTTGGGGCCAGAATGATTGGGACTCCACACTCCACAATGGTCCTCCATATGCACTGTTTATGTTTCTGGTGTCCTCCCTTATTTCTTTCCTGTTGTCATTGAGTGATCATAGCTCCAGATCTAACTCCAAATTTTGTTCTTTTTTTGTGGATGGGAAGGATAACTTGATTTTATACCTAGATTTCTAGCTGATTTGAGACATAAGGATATGGGTCTATACAGGTAAAAAACAATGAAAAACTGAGCATTCTAGATGAACAGTGCGTTTAAAAAAAAACAGATAGATAAACAGTTTATAACTTTTGACAGTAAAGGAAATGCAACATATACGACAAGAGGTGTATTTCAAAACCAAACAATCCAACAATCGCGAGCCAGAGTGTTAGACATCAAACTGTTTTGTCACTCTGTTCTCCAATATTTGTCCATGACCCTGCGAAAAATGTTTTACAATACTTGTCCACCGAGAATGTCAATGGTACAGTTATTCTAGCATTTCCACTACTTACCCTGATTAAATACTCTGGTCAAAGAGAAGTGACTATATTATCAAATTTAATAAGGGTATTGATGGTCATTTTACATTGATTAAGATGTGACAAATATTTTGAGCGCCTAACCTTAGATAATTGTGGTGATTTTTTGTGGCATATGATGAAAATTTGTGGCGAAAACCAAACATTCACGTCATCTTAATTGTTATTTCTAAGCAACAACAAGCTAGTTAGCTACAAATCGAGCTTAAGTCCTGTCAGTTTGTTACCGTCTGATTTGATACATTTTTAATAGCCCCTCTTTTGTTTGGTGCACTTAGCTATAGCTAGTAAACCACTTAGGTTGTACCTTAATCACCATCTGACAAGTAAAAGGAGTGCAATCACCGAACAACGCGCTAGCATCATAACTTTTTGGTAGTTAAATGGTAGGCACTAGTTCTAGAAAGCATGAAGTCAGGCAAGAGGAGGGTAGGGAAATGGTTTGTAGTTGAGATGTGGTGTTGGTTATGTGCATTAGTTCTACCTTCCACTTCTCAGCCACACACTTGTGGTGCAAGCCTCCTTGTGCAAGCTGGGCTGTTTCTAGTTAGGGGGGGAGGAGAAAGAAGGTAAGGAGAGAGGTAGGTCTAGGGGGTTGCTGTCGTCTCTTCAGGAAAGTCACGGCTAAAATTGCCATCCCCACGACACGGCAAAAGCACTAGCACGAATGGCGCTTATCCATAACTCCTCTGTCTGTCCCAACTCACTCTTTGTTGCCCCTGCCTACATGCCCCTTATAGGCCTGCATAAAGCTCCCAACTCTCTGCAGGCACCATTCTTTTCACCCTTAATCTTCTCTCTACCTACCAGTCCTCTCGCATTGTTTAGTGCAATTGCCTATTATTGGATTTGGGGTGGTGTTAGTCTCAACCCAAATTCATCAGCTAACAGTTTCCATTTTCTGGCCATGAGTTCAAATTTCATACCAAGTCCTACTGGTGCTTCCCAAGTTATGTAAATAACAATCATACCGAAGTGCAAGAACCAGGTCTGGGAGTTTTAATTTCTAAACTTATTGCCAAGATTAACGTTTGCCCTCAAAATCATCAAATTAGTGCTGTTCCAGCTTCAACAGTCACTGTTGCAGTCTTTCATTCGGATTCTAGGATGACTAGAAAACCTTCAACACTAGCACACTGCCTGACAGCCAGAGACTTTGACTTGTCTTCAAATAAATTGAACATGAGGTCAAATAGAAACCTATGTCCTATACCTATTCATATAATTCCAAATCAGAGTTCAACCGGGAATCAATAACATAATCCTTCATCATTGGAAATTCGGAATGAAGACATAAGAGATAAAGAACTGCATGAACTTGGACCCATTAAAGAAAAGATGCTCTTCTAAAAATTTGGCATTCTAGCATGTTCAAAAGTTTTATTTCTTTTCCTTTTCTAAAAATAAAACAATAAAGTTTAATCTGTTTATTTTAAAAGGCTTAATTTGTTGTGTGAAGGTGATAATATTTTTGTATTTCAGCAGTAGTTATATTAATTAGCATCCTAGACTCAAAATGCTTGTTGCTCTTGTTCACTTAACATTTCTGGTCTGCCGTATTAGAAGCACTTTGTGCATAGCTACCATATAAGACTCAACGCTCAAGTTTCGAAGTAGTGCTTACATCCAACACAATATCATGCTTACCCTGTTCCATGAGCTCCTTTTCTTAGTGCGTCCACATCCACCAAAAGATGACATAAAAACCTTTCATATGCTCCTTTGACTCTGTCTGAATCTGTGAACCAGTGGATTTCTGCAAAGAAAGAAGAAAAAAATCAAGATTCCACTATGTACCCTACATCAATTTTCTCAAAGAATTACCTTCAAATTAAAACAAAAAACATATTTGGTTTACCAGGGGATGTAATTTCTGCAATACAATACCTTCAGCTGATACTGAATTAATGGCTAACTGGATGTTGTGTTATTTGGTCTGCTGAAGAGGATCAAGTTGTACAACTCCATCTTGATAAGGTTATCACCAAAATTGAAATATAACACAACATACACATTTAGGTTACCAAGGGATGTAATTTCTGTAAATACATCACTTTCGGCTGATACTGAGTTATTGTCTTACTGACTAATTGGATATTTGGATGTGGTGTTGTTTGGGGAAGTGAAGAGGATCAGGTTGTTCAACTCCGCCAACTTAATAGATTATCAACCGAAATTGAAATATAACCTAACAGACACATCTACTTTTACCAGGGGATGTAATTTCTGTAAATACAACACCCTTGGCTGATACTGAGTTACTAATTGGATGTGTTGTTTGGTCTGCTGAAGAGGATCAAGTTTTAGAACTTGATAGATTATCACAACCAACCGAAACTGAAATATGACCCAACATACAAATTTATCGGTATGAATGTTTGATCAGATTGACCCCTTGGCAAGCTAATACCATTCATTTCCATGTAATTGGCCCTCTTTTAACTACCACTAGACCAGCTCCTCGTTAGTTTTACAAATGTGTGTTCAAATAAATTAAATGCACATTATTGCCTTCAGTTGCATATGTGATTAACGGTTGAACAACGGAATGCCCCAAGAATAGCCCAAAGGAAACCCCAAGAATGCAGAAGCACAAATTATTTCCTTATCAGTTTTCTGTTATGACATATTCCAACTACCATAATTGTCTAAAAGTATCCCCAGATATATTGTTGTCATCAAACAATTTGCATACATCACCAACAAAGATAGACAAACAGAGTCATGCTCATGTTAACAAATGTCATTCATGAACAAACTTCTCAGGTTCAGCTATGGTGATCTTAAAACCTTTATATCTAAATTCAAGCCAGAGGTAAGTATAATTCTTTCTTCACGTTTGGGCTTCCCTAATATCCCACCATGTTAATAGGAGGTTACAGGCGGTCACTTGAGCTGACCCAAATCTCTATGGGAACATAAGGTCTGCAACTCTGCATAAGCAGTACTTGAGGGAGAACAATGGCTGTGGAGTCTGGACCCAAACACTCTTCAACCCATAATGTCACCGCATACAGGAAAGCAGACCTACATCTCTAATTGAATCAGAGATGCAAGCATCACTAAGGTTTGAATTTGGACCACTTACAATGGTGTGAACTGAACATCATCATGTCGGTACCTTTTACCAATCATCCCTGTTATGATTCACACAGAAACGGGTGATTAATCCATTCGGTCTGGCGCCCATGCCCATATATATAGTCTCAACACGGTTAGCACTGTCTTTGAGAGTCTTTTAATAAACCTGAAATATCCTCCTTGTATCAGAAATTTTGGTTAAGGCATCTCTCAAATTTCTCTAAGGAGCGGCAATAGTGATCATGGGGGTCAGAGGTGTTGTCACTGAGTCTTTTTACAGGAGCTTTTCTATCAGATATCAATCCAGAAAGAAAGTAAACAAGATTTCAAAAAGTATAAGGTGATTGGCAATATAGAAAACACAAAAAACATCGATATGTTTCTTATTATTTGGAACAATGTTCAATGAAGGTACAGTGGTATTAGCAAAGTCTATTACACCAATAAATGCAAACCTATGAAGAAACTAAAATAAAAAACAGCATGCTATACTTACATGATGAATGCTAATGAACCTATTTCAAAAAGGACTGTAGGTTATAGCCATAAGCTATCTAGGTTATTTAGGCCAAAGGGCGCCTAGCTCAAACGGTTAGGTTTCCCGGCGGCACTCATCAGGTCCTGAGTTCGACTCCCCGTGGGAGCGAATTTCAGGCTGAGGTTAAAAAAATCCCCTCGCCCGTCACATGTGCCAAAGCGCAGTAATGGTCCGGCCCAGGGTCTGGTCCGGCCCGTGGATCCGTGTGTGTGCGCCTTGAGTGCCGCACGGCCCAGGTCCGGCAGACGCCTTCTCACTAGCCAAGGATACCGCTGCGTCAGGATGTGGACGGGGGTTTTCTCGATCTGTGTGAGAAAATCTTCTTCTTAGTAAGAAAACCCGAGGGCCGTCATAACCCCCCGCAGGTCGAGTTTTTTTTTTATCTAGGTTATTTAGCATTGTATTGAGACAGAGAGTTGTCATCTATATTAAATGAGTCATGTTGGCATACAACTGCAAGACAACCATAATACATGAAACTTGCTCAGAAATTTGACTCGCACATATATGCCTCTCAAACTACCACTATATCATAAACGTGTGTACAGAACAGTGACAATCCCATCTTATAAATAGCTATAGCAGAGCATTATGTGGGAACAATTGTATAGTGGGCGAAAGATTATAAACACTAAGATATAGGATCAATTAGAAGAGTAGAATGATGAAAATAATGTGCATTTGCAAAGAGAACTGAAGTTCATCCAACTCGACAAGTTAATAACATATACGAAAGCAACATAAGAACTACTATACTTGCCTATTGCCTCTAATGGAACGAGAGATGTAAGCATCACACTTGCATTTCGACCACTTACATCGCTGTGAGCTTGACGCCCTGGTGTCAGTGACTTCTTCCCAGTCGTCCCCCGATCGTGGCTTCGTATAGGTTACGATGAAGAAACTGGACTCATCGCCGCAGCCTTTCCTTCAGCAGCGCTCCGGCATTTCGTCGAGCATCACGCCGGCCACCGCCACGGACGCGCGCGCCACCACGCGACAGATGTAACAGCACCTGGTAGCACACGTCCACAGCCTCCACCGTCCCTACCATTAAGAAAGGTTCGCCGCAACCCGCATAACGGGGCCGCGCCGAGTCGCCGACCGAACCCAGCTCCGGCCGCGGCGGCGCCCGGCAAAGGCAGGCGCCAAGAGGAAAGCAACGCGACAACAACGGCACGGCCCATTACGTGCCGGGCCGGGTCCACAAAGAGTTGGTGGGCTGTAACAGGTTTAGTCAGAACAGAATGGGGAAGGAGAGGCCCAGGACATCCCAACGGCTAGTTCGCCCAAACGGCTAGCTCTCCAACGGTCGGACGACCCCAAGCAGATTCATATATCTCCTGCGGAATCCAATGCCTCCTGCTACCAGCGTACTGCCACCGCTCCGCTTTCCCGTCATCTCCCTGTTGCTCTGCTGCTCCCTGTAATCTCCTCGTTTCATAATAAGGGAAGTCCGATCGAGGCGAAGATGATGCAGCAGATGCAGCAGGAGCCGTGGAACGCCGCCGCCGTTGGGCTCCTCCGGCCGACCAAGTCGGCGCCCTGCTCGCCCATCAAGCCGGCGGCGGCGGCGGCCATGCTGCGGACCCACTCCGACTCCTTCCACGTCGCGCACAAGGTGCCAGTCGGCGACACGCCCTACGTGCGAGCCAAGCGCGTCCAGGTACGTGTATGCGCGCGCGCGTGCGTTTTTTTTATTTCTTCTCGGGGTGGGTTCGATTCGATCTGATTTGGGTCTCCTCTGCGGCGGTGCAGCTGGTGGACAAGGATCCGGAGAAGGCGATCGCGCTGTTCTGGAGTGCGATCAACGCCGGCGACCGCGTCGACAGCGCGCTCAAGGACATGGCCATCGTGATGAAGCAGCAGAACCGCGCCGAGGAGGCCATCGAGGCCATCAAGTCGCTGCGCAGCCGGTGCTCTGACCAGGCGCAGGAGTCCCTCGACAACATCCTCCTCGATCTCTACAAGGTTCGTGCTCATCCTTCTTCGCTTCCCACGCGTCGATTACCTTTTGTGCACGTATGTGTTCGATTGATGCCTCTGAGACGGTACTGAATTTAAGTGCGCTCTTGCTGCTGTCTTGGTGCGCAGAGATGCGGGCGGCTGGACGACCAGATCTCGCTGCTCAAGCACAAGCTGCAGCTGATCCACCAGGGCCATGCCTTCAACGGCAAGCGGACCAAAACGGCGCGCTCTCAGGGCCGCAAGTTCCAGGTCACCCTCGAGCAAGAAGCCACCAGGCTCCTTGTAAGTGCACACATTTCTCGTAATTTCTTGAATCTATAGCTTCAGCTCAAATACTCGATCACTCCATGCCTCCATCTTCAACACAAATGCTCAATCTCTGTTCGTTGATGATGATCAATCTTGCCATTGTTACTGTGCAGGGTAACCTGGGATGGGCGCTGATGCAGAAGGAGAACTACACGGAGGCGGAGGGGCGTACCGTCGGGCGCTGCTCATCGGGCCGGACAACAACAAGATGTGCAATCTCGGCATCTGCCTCATGAAGCGGGGCCGCGTGCTCGAGGCCAAGGATGTGCTCAAGCAGGTACGCCCCGCAGCGGTCGACGGTCTGCGCGGCGCCGACTCTCATCTCAAGGCCTACGAGCGCGCGCAGGAGATGCTGCGGGACCTCGAGACCAAGCTCGTTGGCCGCCCGCGGGCTGACCAGCTCGACACTAACTGGCTCTTTGATGCGCTGCTGCTGGGATCGTCCTCAAGCATCTGGCAGCCGCAGCCTTGCATCGACCACTTGCTGCCACCTCCGGCTCCAGCTCCGGCTCCAGTTTCGGCTCCAGCACCAGCCCCGGCGCCGCGCGACCGCTTCGCCGACGAAAACGCCAGTGTCAGCAAGAAGCTGGCGGCGATCCAGGCGAACATGCTTAATGTGGACGCGCAGCCCTTCTACTCTCTGCGGGTGCCGCCGCTTGCAGCGAAGCCTCATAACACGCTGCCTCAGCAGCAGCAGAAGCCACACAACACGCTGCCTCAGCAGCAGCAGCAGAAGCCAGCTCCTGTCCATGATCCCTTGGGCAACCTGAAGCGGACACGGTCCGGCAATTGCATGGACAAGGAGCAGAGCATCGACGAGAACAGCGGCAGGAGGAAGTCGCTCTCAGCTGAGGACAGATGGCCAGAGCTGCCCGACCACAGCGCATTCGACGAGGCCCTCGTCGCGGCTGTCCTGGGCCCAGTGCTCGACGACGAACCTGCTGAAGGGAACGGCCACGGCAAGCTGCCGGCGAGCTGCGACACGAGCCCAGCGGTGAAAGGAAAAGACCGGCAAGAGGCTGAGGATCTTCCAGGACATCACACAGACAGTGAACAATTTCTGATTCGTTTTGGTTTTCTTCACTTTCCTACTCACAGCAGGCGGCAGGCTTGAGGTGGCGATACAGAGAAGGAGAAAGGGCTTGTTCTCCTGGGAGCTCCTGTCTGGCAACTAAATTAATCAGGGATTCAATTCGATTTTAATTTGATGCTGATTTTAATTGAATTTATTAACACACCAAAATAACAGCTGATTCTTTTGTTCGCTTCTTCAGCTTGACACTTTAGGAAGCGTGTACTTCCTTTGCCACAAGGCTCTCTCCTTGTAATAGAAGTGGACTGCATCTTGTTCTAATTTCGTTTCTTTTGAAATAACAAAGTTCATTTGTGCTTATCCGGTGACTCATCTGTTGTTTTGACTTTCACTGCAATCGTGTATGCTGTGCATTCTTCCTGTGTCCGTGAAATTACGGAGCAAGTTAACTATTTTAACAAAAACATTTAGATTTTTTATTCAAACATTGGAATTGGAAGGAATGGAAGGTGATCGAAAACATCGAATTGAAAACCACAACCTCTCCATATCTCTAAAACAGGGTATGAGAGTCTCAAAAGGTCCGGTCCATTTGATTTCTAACACTTTTCCCCTAAATCGATCGTAGCTTCTTCAGTAACCCGATAATATCTCTGAAAACAAAGTGGACCGGACCTTTTGGGAAACCCATGCAAGTAGGATTGCACAAAAACCTTGTCAAAAAACATGGAGAGAAAATATATAATAATTTCAGTTATTGTCTCATTGTAACTCACATGAGAAAACCTTAAAAGAAAAAATGCAAAAACCTTAGGTGCTGTTTGGCTCCAACATTGCAAACAGTAATGTAAATGGGACCTTATCACTGTGCGAATGCTTCCAGGTAATAGAAACCGTGGATTGTTTGTTTTCATGAATGCAAATCGAGCGGAGCGGCCGTATCAGTTAGCGCCAGGTGAGGAGCGGTACCTGCATTTCATTGACCAGTAACGGTTTGCAGTGTTATCTATTACGTACTAGCCAAACCAAACTGGAACAAGCGCAATCGGATTGCATCGTGATCTGATAACGGACAGGAACCACCAACCAAACTGGAACAAGCGCAACGTTTGCATCGTGATCTGATAACGGACAGGAACCACCAACCAAACAGCACGTTAGTGTTAGATTTGTAGTGGGAAAAATATGATGAGGAATGTATATCATTGATATTTTTTCTCAAAACCTGTTGGAAGAAAATAGCAGGTGTGACATATGTTCTTATACTCCTCAGTCCTAAAATAAATCAACTTCTAACTCAAGTGTTACATGTTATTGTTCACCTGAGGACTTCACTTGTACCTTGCAACTCTCAAAGTGGAATGCCAATTCCATGTGTATGGACTTATTCAGTGAATCTGCGAAGTTATCGCAAGATTACTCTTGTAAGATATTTTATTTTCCACTATGTTGCAATTTATGGGGAGAAAATATTTTTGGGCAATGACAATACAACCAAGACTATCTTCGTGGATAATGGTTGGTGATCCAATGGAATTGCATACGTGTGAAGCTCCAAAATGATATGTGGAAGTAACTGTTAGAGTCTATTTCAATGACTCGTGTGAGGATACTCTACAACAATGAAATTAGTATTGGGCCCGGCGTTGTGGGATCAAATGGCCATTATCTTGATGTACCACTTAGGTTGTGTCTTAATTTATGTAATTATAGATCAAAATCTTTTAGTGCCATATGGATATCTATGAATATCCTCCTTGACTGGCACCTTGCGGTGTTGTAGTAGCTATGTTGTTTTTGTGCTAGTAAAGTATCTGCTAATGCAATATCAAGCCCATTGTGATTTTCAAGATACATGAGCGCTTTGATGGTAGTATGCTTAAGGTTGTCATCCCACGATCTAAATGGATACCGGTCCATTTTTACAGACCGAAAGACCACAAGTCCTTATACTAAGACTTAAGCGTAACTTGGTTTTACCGAAATCTTTCATTTCAAATTCTGTGTCAAAGGTCAATTTTGCATGTGTCATTTAAAACTCCATAATCCCCAAAAACGCCATCATTGTGTCAATTGACAACAATGGCATTGGAAAGATTCCATGTAAATTGCAAGTGGTAAACTTTTTTCTAAAATGGTTACTCGGTTATTTCTATATTTTGATATGTGTACAATCCAATTTGGGGCATTTGATATTTCTTATGCAAGTAGGTAAATTCTGTAAGTGCATAGAATATTGTTATAGTATTTCACATGAGAATATTCCAAAAAATTGCATTTTTATCCTTAATTAGGTCTGGCTAGAGTATTGATAAATATAGTTTTTTTATTATATCACAATCAACTACTAAAGTTTAATGGGATGAACGATAACAGATAGTAGTGTAGCAATAGAAGAATACAAATTAAATAAAAGACAAATGCATAGCTGACTATGAGTGAGTAACTAAGGTTCCTGGGTTCTTGTCTATAACTAGACCAGCACAAGACAGAACATGTAACCATGATCAAGACAGCATAGTGAAGATTAAACTTCAAATCATCGAGACCACGATTTGGTTTTTGGCCCTTTTAGTCACTAAATTGACAAATAGGGTGACTAAAAAGTGACTAAACTAGTTTAGTCCTCTAGTCCCTTGGGGTGACTAAAGGGGACTAAACCGACCCAAAAAGACACCCCTGCCCCTCATTAAAAGAGAAGAAGAGTGTGTGTGAATGCAGGGCATTTTGGAAGTATAGTAGCTTTTAACGACTTTTGTCGGAGAAGGGCATTTTTGGTGGTCTTGGTATAGTAGCTTTGGTTTTTTTTGAGAACGACTTGGTAGTGGTTGAAACCCAATGTTTGGATCCAAATAAGTATGGACTAAACTTTAGTCCGAGGACTAAATAGAACCAAACCAAACCCTATGTAATAATGCGAGCAACCTTTTGGACGGTGATTTCTTTTCCACTAGTCAACCACAAGACTTCATAAAGCTTCCATGCAGATTTGATGCCCTCAGAAGACACTCTATCTCTATCATAGGCTACGACTACGATAGATCATAGGAATTGAGTTCACACACTGCCAAATCCTGAAAATGTGGTCACATTTTGCCCCAGCACTTTGCAAAAGTGCACTAAAAATCACATAAGAAAAGTTGTTCGTGAGGCTCAACACTTCAGTCAAGATGGGAAATCTCGAGATGGAGCCAGCCGAAGAAGGTTAATTCCAGCATTCACCGACCTCAAATCTAGTTCGGTGTGCAGTCAAACCCAACACTGTGTCAAGCAGGCCCTGAGTTCTTCAAACATAGACCTCTAAAAAGACTTGTACTTCGCATGTTCGTGGTCCCGTGTTTTCCCAAGCCTTTTGCAATCCATGCGCAGAGAGTTCTCGGACTCTTCGGTGGCTATCCTCTTCTTCTTAGAATCATCATCGAGATTAGTAGGAAGTGACAGAGCCTCTAGACCGTGCTCTCCAGCTCACTCACCAGCCTGCCCCATTTGTTCGAACTTCTTTTCATGTCACCAAACTTCTCTTCCTTTCTCCGAATATCGACATTGAGCTCGTTAAGTGGCACGTTGTTCAGCTACGCCCGAACTCCCGTTCAATATCATAGTCTTGAGGAATTGCACCAAATGTCAAGAAAAAACAATTGAATCGATAGATAGCTGCACGCCAAGCGAAGCATCTACGGTGACAAAATAAAATTGACACAGCATCAACAAAGGCGTTGCTATTAATTTGATACGAGTACTGTGATTTATCTATATTTAACAAATTTATTTTTTTGTGTCACTGTCTAGCTCAATCTTTCGGAGGTACTTATAGAGATAGATTGCGTACATGCGTTACATAGGAGGTGAGTAAGCGTCTACGTCTAAACCATGTCTCATGTTATGAAAAAAATGATAGTGCTCTTAACGTTTGTTGGTTTCATGTTTGGTATAGCAAGCTTTCAGCCGTGGACTGAGAGCCTGTTTGGAATATAGAAAATTCGCAGAAATTGTGCAATAATTTCACACAAAAATACAAAGACAAGAAATAAAATTCTCATGTTCCAGGCCTCGAAACTTGACAAACCTAGGATTGCTCAAATGTCTGTAGCGCGGAGGCCGTCCGGCCGAACCCGAACCATATCAGCAGCGCGTCCCCAATCGCAACGGTGGCGGTCAATCATCAAAAGCCGTCGCCACCCCGGAGCGCGCCACCTCTGCTGAGCGCACTCACCGCAAGGAACTGCCAATCGCGATCGGGCAGGGCATTGAATACTCTCTCTCAGTCCGCTCCCAGCCTCCTCCAACAGCAACAGACCACCACGGCCCCGACCCTTTCGAAGTGCTTTCTGCAAAAGACGCGTGCCGCGTCTCAAAACAGCAAAACCGAGGCCTCGTTTAGTTAGAATTTTTTTTAAAAACTGTACTTTATAACATTTTCGTTATTATTTGATAATTAGTGTTCAATCATAATTTAATTAGGCTTAAAAGATTCGTCTCGTGATTTTTCATCTAAATGTGTAATTAGTTTTATTTTTACTTATATTTAATGTTTACACGCGTGTCTCAAAGATTCGATGTGATAAAAAATTTTAAAAAATTTTACAAAATTTTGAGAACTAAAACACCGAGACCAGAAGGCCAGAACGCCACTGCCTGCGGTGCGGCCCACCAAAACGCCGCGGCCTCCCTCCACGCCCGCCAGCCGCCGAGGCACGGCACGGCACGCAGCACGCAGCCTGGTCCGTTCAGGCTTGTTTGGCGTCTTTTTTTTCAGCCGTGAACAGTAATTATAAACAGTATTGTTCTTTTGCGCTTAAATTAGCTTTCATCCGCCTTATCAGCCGAAGAACCCAAAGCGAACAGGGCACGCCGAGCCGAAACCGTCCCCGGCCGCACACACGACCGAAGCCCCCCAGCCGCGCGCGGCGCGACCGTTGGAGCCCTGGATTTTCCCACGCTGCCCCCGGTCTGGGCGACGGGCGCGTGCAAAGGCAGGGGTGGTTCAGGGATTTTGGGGAGCCCGAGAAAGACCAATGTCGCGCCGCACGCTGCCCGAAACCTCATGCCACCGCATTCGATCGGTTACTTCTGGTGGACCACCTCACCGGTGCCGTGCAGGGCTGCTGCACACACACCTGTTGTCACAGGCAGCACGCGTACAAAGGATCTCTCGGCCCTCACTTCTCACTCTTCTACTCTAGTGCTCCAGCCGCAGAAATGGCAAGACGGTAAAAGGAGCGAGGACTGCGTGAGATGTGAAGAAGAGAGAAGGCAGAGGAGAGAGAGGTCGGGTACTAGTGCTCCAGCAGTAGCCTCCTGCTCTGGTCTGGTCGCCTCAACGGTTACTACCTGCGTTGCCGTGCTGTGCTGGGTTTGGGAGAGCGAGGGAGGATTGGAGGAAGAGCTGGTGTGGTGTGCTGTGGTGGTGATCACAGAGCGCCGGAACCGGAGCGGCGATGGGCTGCTGCCAGTCGCGGCTGGAGCGGCTGGAGGCGGTGTCGCGGTGCAAGGCGCGCCGGCGGTACACCAAGCACCTGGTGCAGGCGCGGCGGGACATGGCCGCGGCGCACGCGCTCTACCTGCGCGCGCTCCGGGCCACCGGCGCCTCGCTGCTGCACTTCGCCAGCGCCGAGTCCGACCACCCGCACCCCATTCCTCCGCGGCTCACCACCAACACGGGCCGCCGCCGTCCCCGCCGCCGCCTCCCCCCGCCGCCACCGCCGCCGCTCAGCCCCTCCCCGACCACCAGGTCCTGGACGACAAATTCCTCCTCGATCTCCGCGTCCGCGATCTGCCCCCCTCCGCCGCCGCCGCCAATGCCGTCCAGCTGGGACTTCTGGGACCCCTTCGCGCCCTCCTCCTCCCGCTCCGCCACCGAGGACGCCGACTGGGACGACGCCGCCACCACCGTCGTAGACGCGCCCATCGCCGCCGCGCCACCCGTCGTCACGGCCGCTGCGGCGGTGGCCGCGCCCCTTCCATCGTCACCGCTACCACCACCTCCACCACTCCCAGCGAGCTCACCGTCGTCGCGGTACCCCGCGGCGGCGCTGGAAGAAGGACCTCGCGGAGATCGCCACCGAGCTCGATGAGTACTTCCTCAAGGCAGCCGACGCCGGCGCCCGCGTTGCTGCACTACTCGAGGCCCCCGTCTGCGAGCCCCCTGAGCCCACCACCAACAGCAGCCTACCAGGCATGCCCTTTTCTTCAACAAACCAGTTAAACTGTTCAATAGATTGTTTCTTCTTCACCACATTTTGCTTATTGCCGACGAATCCTTTTCTTTACTTCTGCTGCAGGGAAGGTACTGAGTTACAGCAAGAGCTTGAAGCCCATGGGATGGACCTGGGGCGGAGGAGGAGGGTATGGGAAAGGTAACAATGGGTTCACAAGGTTTGGGAGAGGAGACGGCAATGTCGGAGGCGGTGGAATGCTCAGTCATTCATCCACCGTGGAGAAGCTCTACGCATGGGAGAAGAAGCTGTTTCTTGAGGTCAAGGTAAGAGTAGTTCCTTCTTTGCTCTTTAACTTTAGTAGTGACAGTGGATTTAACCTTTTCTTTCTCATTTAGTATTAGCATGAACATACAGAATGATCGAAACATACTGGCTGATTCTTCAGATCTAAAGGAGTGTGAGTGTGTGACTGCGTGAGTGAGTGAGTGGCGAAGTGCTTTTGAGGGGGGTCCTTTTGTTCTGTTGCTCGTAGTTTGATCTGTTCGCCTATGGCCTGTGATGGGGAATGCTGCTAACAATGATTCAGCCGTGGTGGCAATTGGTTTTGTCTGAAGAAACAAGAAAGGTTGTGGACACAAGGACGTGTAGTGCGCAATGCACGTGGGTGTTGCTTGCATTGTCGGTATTTTATTTCTCTCCCCTGTCAGGAGCTTCTTCAAAGATGAACCCCAGCATGCTTTTGGATTCTTCCAAGTAGAAAGATCAGTAAATCACCTTCATGGTTTATTTTATCCTTACTGTACAAACATGTTTGGCTGAATCTGAACGGGGCTGTGAAGATTTGATTTCATGTTCAACTGTATTTTGTTGATAACCATTTTGCTATCCATACTTGATCAGATGAGTTCTGAATTCTGCTGCCTATTTTCTTTGTCATGATGAAGATAGATTTTTGTGCTACTCTGATCACATGTTCACATCTGTTAAGCAATCATGTTATTGTAGCTTTATATACAACTTTAAAGGTATCATCTTTGTGTGCCTTTTGGTAGGATTATGACTTTTTTTCTTTTTAACTGCAAACAGAGTTATGAGGGGTATAAGCAGGAGTATGATAAGAAGGTCAGTCTGTTGAGGAAGCAAGAGGTGAAGGGTGTGGATTACTTGAAGATGGAGAAGAACAAGATGGAGATTGAGAGCCTAGAGTCCAAGATGCTGGTTGCCAACCAGTCCATCGAGACCACCACTTCTGAGATAATCAGGCTCAGAGAATCCGAGCTATTTCCCCAGCTTCTTGAGCTGGTTGCTGGGTTAGTACAATCTCCTTTCATCATCCTTCCCGACTGCATCTAGTAGTAGTACTCCACCTGTACCTGTCACTTTGCATTGCATATGAGCATGAGAGTAAGGTGGGACATATGGTCCATGGTGTACGACCTTCTACCCATGCTCAAGTGTAAGCTACCTATCAGAAACAGTAGTACGTCCTTCTACCCATGCTCAAGTGTAAGCTACTAGCGCTATCGAAAAATAGTAACGACGATTGTTCATTAGCCACTGCCTCACACCATATTGCCGTTTTTCTTTTTGGCTTTGTAAAAGTAGCTTTGTCACTGTGCAAGGTACCTTTTATTGATTTGAACAAACCTTTAAAAGTATTGCTGAGCTAGTGGAGTCTTGGAGTTTTGACTGTTCTGACTGAATCTTCTGACCATTGATCTCAGGCTGTCAGGCACCATTACCTGATCAGCCTGGGCATCGGTGATGTTAGAACCTTAAAGGGGGTGTTGATTGTTTGCAACTAGTTCTCACCTCCAACTAGCTTCCCAATAAATATCAGCAAATCTTTTGATACAGTAAATATGTCCAATCCATTGAACTCAGGCTGTAGCTCTCCTTTCTTGAGAAGTTTGATTTTTTTTGTTTTTGCCATTCTCATGTGTGCTTGTTTTTGTGAAATGCAGCTTGATGAGCATGTGGAGGGGTATGTACGAGTGTCATCAAGTTCAGACCCACATCGTGCAGCAGCTGGAGTACCTCAACAATGCTCGGAATACTAACCCAACTTCCAATGTCCACCGGCAAGCAGCTCTTGAGCTTGAGATAGAGGTTGACAGGTGGTATTCGGCCTTCTGTAGTCTGGTGAAATCCCAGAGAGACTATGTCTATTCACTGACCGGCTGGCTTCGCTTATCACTGTTCTGCCATCATGACCCACTGACTAAAGCTCAGAACTCAGATATTTATAGCTTGTGTGAGGAATGGCAGCTAGCCATCGACCGAATCCCAGATAAGGTGGCCTCGGAAGGGATTAAGACTCTCCTAACAGTGATCCATGCTGTTGTCATTCAACAAGCTGAGGAACAGAAGCAGAAGAAGAGGTCAGAGTCTGCATTCAAAGAATTTGAGAAGAAGGCAGAGGAGCTGAGATCCCTAGAGTCAAAATATGGGTCATATATTGGTGCTGAAGGTTACAGAGAAATGTCACGAAAATCACCAGTAGCTGACAAGCGGGCAAAGGTTGAGGCTCTGAGGAGCCGCACTGATGAGGAGAAGAGCAAGTATGAGAAGAGCATTGGGGTCACAAGAGCAATGACCTTGAATAACCTGCAGACTGGCTTCCCTAACGTTTTCCAGGCGATGACGGGCTTCGCCAGCGTCTGCATGGAGGCATTTGAGTCGGTGTACAACTTCAAGCGAAGCTCAGACCGGATCCTCGACGTGAAGAGGCTGCTGACCTGAAGCAATGTTGCCTCACTGTATAAAATGTATACAGTCTTAGATTTCTAGTAACAAAAATACCTTGCAACCTTTGTGTGGCTTTATAGAAGTAGTAGGCGCAAAAATGCCGTCAAGTTCATTTACACCAAGTAATTGAACTTGAGGCCGTCTTTTCCTTTTTGGTAGAGATAATCTCTTGCTCGGATGCAGGTTCGAAAAGGCTCAGCTCTGGTTTTTCAATCAGAAGGTTTGAACTTTATGTCATGAGCTGAGACTTGGATGGTGACTGATAACAGTAGTCTGCAATTCAGAAATGGGCCGCCCTTGTGGCAATTGTTGTTTTCCGCGCCTAAATTATATTTCTAGTATATGGTCAGTGAATTCTAATTGGGGCTTGACAACTTTGCAAGTTCATCTAGAGGACTGAACCATTTCGGTAGGCATACCACTCGGCACGCGCTAAATGCTCGTATAAGATTTCAGTGAAACATATTTAGAGCATATTGTAAATTCTCAGTATGCCAGAATGCTGAGCGTACTTGTATGGTTTGTCATTAGTCAAGGAAAAAGTTCAGTTCCATTTCCAGGGTCTATAACATGAGTACATAGTTCTCGGAAATTTGAGCAACCGAGAGATCTGAACAGCAGATGTCTATAAACAAAGGAAATATCTACATGAGCTCAATCTCAATAACAGATATCCGCAAACTGAATATAAGGTCATAAGAACATTCATATGTACTACATTCAGGCATTCTAGGAAATACAGGTATCAGAATATAAGGCTCTGTCTCTTTCCTGTCTAGGAAGTTCTCCACTGCAACTCGATTTGGATCTGACCATTTTTTGAGTCTATGAGATGGTACTTTTCATTAATCCGCTTGTTGCTGATCACGTCTGCAAGGCTAATATCAATGTAGCCCAAAGTTTCCTGGACCAAGAAATACAGGTATCAGAATACAAGACATTTGATATTTGCCTCTTCGGATTCTGCTTCTACATGCTACAGGAAAGCAGAGGTTCCAAAAAAACTAACGCGACAACTAGTGATATAGTCGTAATGCCAGAAGTAAATATCAACCATTCTTCAATCATCTGGTAACAGGGCAACCAGGAGGATGTAGTAGATTAGTAAATTAAATGGAGGGTAGGATTTCCATTCTACCTTGCCATGTATCAGCCCTTTCTTCCCTGCTTTACTTAGGACTTCAACATGCAGTTTATCATTTACAGGAGGCTCCTCACACACGAACTCAAATTCATCCTCCCATCTTGGATCCCTATTCTTCTTGATGACCTAGTGCAGGGGATGAAGAGTAAATAAAGAGATAGATATGTCATGGCCATTCCATGAAGATACAAAAATAATTTGTTTCCACAATACCTTTGTTTTCTTCTCCTCGCCTTTGAAAATTAATTTTGCATATGGGTTTGTATGGTGCTTCCCTCAAGATCTTGGGCTTCATGAACAATAACATTAAGCAAGCCACCACCAGCTGGAGTACCATCTGGAGCTTTCTCTATCACATCAGCACCCTCTGTATCTTCTTTCTCCATATCTTCTTCCTTGAAAGGCTTGTATGTGAGCTCTAGAGTAAGCTCGCCACGAGACTTCTCATTTTGTACATCATTTGGGTCCATGGTCTTAAGCAAGTTGAGGGTAGTAACTTTAGTCTCCTCTGGCGGGAGTTCTCTAAGTGGGATCATGTTCATTCCCATCTTTTCATGTTTCCCAACCTATAAATAACAAAAAAAAAAAAAAAAATGCATATTGTTTGGTAATTATGTTGGCAGAAAAAACTACAGCAGTATTTAAATAGGAACGGAAGCGATGCCTGTTCCCAGTCGAAGACATTAACTTCAAGAGCCTGGTTTTCTGGATCTGTCACAACAAATTTGAATTCTTCATTCCACTCTGGATTGAGATTGCTGCGCTTTACAGTTGTCTTCTTGGATGGAAGTTTATTATCTGACATCTTAAGTTTCACATATGGGTCAGATTTACCCAGCAGATCCTTCTTCCGCAGATTTTGGGCTCTCACAACCTTCACAAGCAGAATTCCAACGGGCCTTTTTGATGCTCTGGGAATATGAAAACCATTTACTCCTTTCTTATCAGATACAGGTTTTGACGTACATAACGAAAATAGAAGAGGTACTAAAAATTTACTTTGAGGGATCCATTATAGGTACTTCTAGCGTCTTCGGCCACAAATACATGCTTGCTACTTGTTTCTTGATGGTCTCCTGTAAATGCAGGAAAGGTATCATTACAAAAATGAGTTAACTGTACTAAAACGAGTGAATTAGATACCACACGTCACATCCACTGTAAAGAGCAAACTAGACACTACAGAAGAATAACACTTAAAGTTTAAATCCAGGTGACCAACCATCAAAGTATAGAAATGCTGCTTTCGGTACACAAATATGCATGTGTTTAAAGAAATGCAGGTCAATAACAGGAACAGGCCAGATAATCATATTGAAAGTATGGTGCGACAATTAAAAGGGAAATAATAATCTATTCATAATTTCTTTTCAAAATGAAACCATTCATGACAGTGCCACAAAAACCATTTACTATGTTCAGAAAACATAATGGAACTTCAACATTGCTCACAACCAAGTGTAGAATATGAACACTTCCATATGAGAATGTTTGAAACAGGAGTCAGGAATAAATGAACAAAATGAGAGGGAAATAATAATATATTCATCATTTCTTTTTAAAACGAAACTATTAATGACAGTGCAACAAAAACCATTAGTATGTTCAGAAAGCTTAATGGAACTTTAACATTTAGCTCACATGAGAATGTTTGAAACAATAGTCACAAATACCTGAACAAATCTGTAAAGACCAGGAATAGCCATTACATCTGCTCCAAGAAGTTTTAGCCCAAAGTCAACATGTGGCTGCAAAACCAATCACAATTAGCAAACAAATGGTGGACCAGGATTATTCAAGAGCACCAGAATAATTCAAACGAAAATCAGTTGCCATACCTTCTCCATGAGCGAGACAAGGATTTTTGCAAAGCAGGGAAATGTAGGCACCAATGGCTTCAGAGTAATACGAGGTGATGCAAAGACTTGTAGATCCACAATCTGAAATAACTCAAAAAAGCATATTTCAGTTGGCTCGACTCAACTCAACAAATGATTAAGTGAATAGCAATTACAAATCCAGCTTACGACCAAATATTTCATACCTGGATAGTAGCTTTCAAACCGTAGGCTTTTACAACAACAGTAATATTTGGGTTTGCAGCCCATTTAAGAGATGGTTCCATCATCAGCTCTTGCTCCTCTGTGACATAGGCTTTCATCCCTGGGAGGAAAAAGCATGAATTGCTTCAAAAATACATATTTGCAACAGCATTTTAAAGTTAGCATCACATATAGGCAAACTTAACATAAGCTTGTGTACAGAGTTCGCTATGTTATACATGGGAAAGTATATGTATAACTTCACCAGTTGTACATAGCCAAGCAAAAGGTGTGGTGAACTGGTGATTATGACTTATCACTAAGGAATGAAACATTCAATCCTAAACTCAATATGCTCAATATATAGCAGCGCATCTAGAACACAGTTGTATCAGTGGCTCCACATGACCACATCTCATATCATCAGTAATAAAAAGTTTTGAGCCACAATTAAGGTTGTTAAAATCATAATCTTGAATTGGATTGGAATTCCAATGGTAGGATTGCAAATCATAAGATCATAACAATTAGAACTATGAGATCGTAGATTCTACTTGCATAATCGTAGCATCAAGTTGATAAACTAACAACGCAAAGTCATAAAATCATGCCATAGAATCACGATTTTAACAACTATGGCCACAGCTATTTTACCAATCAGGGTTGATTTGACTACTCACGAGCTTATAAATGGTAACTCAAGATACCAGGAAAAAAGAAGGAAGCAACATAAAAGACGCATGACTGCTTGCAGTGAAGTCATGTACAATATGTGGCATCTAATAAATATTATAGTTCAAAGTAAGGCCTAAAAACCATGTGAAATACATGTGCATGCTTAAGGGAAACATAAGAATGCAACACTGCTGACCTTGAAAGGTGGGTGGTAAGCTACCCAAAGTAAGTGTTTCAAACTCAACGGAGTCTATCTTATACTTTGCAGTATTCTCAGCAATAATTGGCTTCGCGATATCCTGTGCAGTTCTGCAGATAGCCTACAGGATAAAAACAAAACACAAAGCATGGCAAATTCAGTGTCAACCAGAGATAATGATCTTGTGCTGTCTCAGAGCAAATGACAAGATAAGAGTACCTTGTTAAGATAAGGCCACATCAACTCCAAGAACCTGTTCAGCCAGTCAATCTAGAGACAAGGAAGAAAATGAGAATCTAAAATCACTAATACGATTAAGATAGTTTCTGGCTAGTTCATCGAAGGAGCATACTCTATCATAGTCAGGATTCTTGACCCACAAAGGAATTTCAGGAAGGATGCCCTCCAAGGATTTTGAATCATATTCCACAAGAGGGCGAACCTTGACATCCTGACAGAAAAGTAGGGAGAAAGAAAATCATTCTGTGAAAAAAACAGATGGCATATTGCATTCAGCATATTAAACCACTTGACTCAAATCCTTGCAAGTATTACGTAAACCAAACTGCAAAATATAAAGAAAATACTCTAAACTAAACACTGCACAAAGAAGTAAAGAGTCATATGTTTCTCCAGGTCTGCATTTCCTTCATGAAATGGCCCTTACCTGGGTGTGTGCAACATGTGCCATCACCAAGCAACACATTAAGTTAGGAGGTAAACAGAAACACCATGGAAACCCCGCCCCCTTGCCCCAAGAGTGCTCAATCAGTATGAAAGGCATGAAAGGCAAATTGCAGACGCATATGTAGAGGTCTATAGCATACATCACAACTAAACAACATAATACTCGTGGCTTATGTCAACGCTGATCAGACTGTAATAATAATGTGATACACAGCAGAAAAAGTAAATGTATTCAACAATGGCCAGCTCGTATTTGTTGTCTTAACTTCAGGATCTCAAGTTGTCTACAGATCACTCAAAAAATAATTTGGAAACATATTAGCAAAACAGTTGTCAACAATCCAACTATTCGTTATACAGCAGTGAAGAGAAATTATATACATTAAGAAAGACAGAAGAGCAAAAGGAAAGTACCCACCTTGACATCGGTTGGCTGTACGTAGATGAAGAGGAAGTAACCAATAACAATGCCAGCCGAGAACCCAAAGCCAAACCCAGAGAAACCAAGCACTGTGCTGATTACACCCATCTTGGGTTCCTTCCAAAACCTTCAGACCAAATGCCAGCTTTCAACCAAAAGTTGCAAAACGAACAAAAAAGGATATAATCAATCAAAATTTGAACTCACGGAAAAACTATAAACCAAAAAAAAAATTTCACTCTGCTAAATTGCCAGGAAACAACTAGAGTGGCCTGACCTTCTAGGCACTAGCACAAACCACAAAGATCCTATTCAATTTACTGCACAACAATAAATCAACACCAAGATCATAAATCCTTAGTCAAAAACATTTATATGAATTATCCTCAGCATGAAAAGGCAATTTCCCACATTAGAAACTCGAGGGACCCATCAATTAAGGTTCTCACTAACCTACAAAAGTAATGTTTTGACCACATCACAAAAGAATAGCATCTAATGCCAATTGGTAGCTGGTAGCTGGTAATAAAACGATAACAACAGAGCATGCACAAGTGCACAACTAATGCCAATTGGTTCGATAACACAACTATAATAAGGACCTTGGGCCAAGAATAATACTTGTAACTTTCAAGCCGATCATGCTGGGTTTTAGAATAATGTGTAGTGGCACCACGTTACTGTATGCTATTAAATATTAGTTGAGTAGACAAAAAGTGGATACGAAAAGTGGAGCAAAAGAAAATCAAGGGTGGCACACGGCGTCTTTAATAGTTGCCCTTGCTTGCGGGTTGGGTTGGTGCTTTAATCTTTGCTTTTTGGGGAGATTTTAGATTGGATCAAATCAAGAGTGTTGGTCTGGGGAACAAAGATATGAGTGTGTGTTCAGGCGAAAAATCAATATAACTAAAAGAAGTACTTTTAGGCTCAAACAAAATGTGAGTAGGTTTCAAAAAAAAAAAGATAAAGTCCAGCTGAAGGAACGGAAACATGAATCAGGATTACAATATTCTTTATGTGGGTTGTGAATTTAAGAATTATTACAGGTCATGCACTCCTCAAACAGAAAATTCGTACTACTAAGGGAAAAAATCGTTTGAATGGACAACGAAGCAGTGGTAGCCCATACATTTGATCATGCTTATCCTGGCTAAATATGGTTGATCCACTGACTTAAGAATCAAATCATAGTGCCTCTGAAAACCAAAATAAACAAATGAAGTGCACCGCTTAACATACAAACCACAGGCTTGGTAACCCCATCGACCCATCAGAATTTTCAAAACAGAAAAACTAGCGAAATATACCCAACGAATTACAAGTTTCATCGACTGTTCCTCCTATGCTCTGTTCTCGAAAAGCGACGAGGATCGAAATCCCCAGCGCGAGAAAACCAAGTGAAACCTACGCAAGCCAACTACCAGAAATACCCCCACGAATTCGGACCGCTGACTCTACGCTAGAACAGAGGTCGAGACCCGAACGACGGAGAAACCCGGATCACACCAAACACTGAGGGTGGGGAACCGAGACGAACCAGCGAGGCAGGCCGCAGGCGTACGTCGAGGCGGGGCAGGCAGGTGCGGTGCGGCGCGGCGCGGCGCGGCTTGCTAATACTACCTCGATGCGGAAGGCGAGTCCATGGAACGCTCGGGGGGTCGGCACTCCGGCGGGCGGCGGCGGAGAAATTTGATTCGGCCGGCGGGGCGGAGGAATCGAATGGGTTTGGGCCTAAGGGGTTGGGGGAGGGAGGATCAGAGGATTGGCTCGGGCGCTTCGCCTGTCGGCACGTCGCTACTCACGCGCACGGCGGCCGCGATCCAAGGTGGGGTTAACAATAATCCGTGGGGCGCAAATGCTATAATTAAGGTCACCAAACTAGCGCGCACTGGCCCGTTCACGCGTGGTTCGTGACGCTGACGTGCGGGCCAGGGGTACCTGTGGTGTGATTTCCCGTTCCCTTGGACCGTTGCTGTGTCTTCCTCTGCTTGCATTTCCCGTTCCCTTGGACCGTAACGCATCCATCGTTCATCTGCCAGACTGCCAGTCAAATCTAAGGCGTTACTCCGTCGCGCACTGGCCTATACACATCGCGTTGAAAAATAAGTTAAAAAATACGGATCAGTTTATTTTTTCAACCGAAAAAGCGATTTTCTTCTTTCGCAACGAATCGCCGTAAACCGTATTTCAACTTTTTTTTACGAAGCGAACGGCGCTGACAACAACGCCTGGCCAGTTGGCCACTCGTCTCGCCGCCTCGCGCAGCAGGGACAGGGACAACTTGGGTTGTCGTGGACGATTCAGAGTTCAAGCAGCCTATTCGTTTTTGGCTGTGGGCGTCGTAAACGATCGTAAATTTTTAGTCAAAATAGTATTTTTCTCTCATGACAAATCAATTAAGAAGATTTTTTTTATAAACCAACAACGATATAAATAAGCGTTGACGGACCTAGGTTTTTTTACTCTGGTATGCGTGATAAAAAAATTCTTATGCAATTCGGTAAACCCCAACAAATTTTTTTTTACATTGAAAATTTCTACCTATCTCTATGACTAGCGGAAGAAATGCAGTGGCCCACCCTACATATCTGCGGATATAAACCAGGCAACCGAACAGACCGCAGAAGAGTCTTGAGGTTTTCCTTCCCAACGGAATTAACGCTCTCCTTGTTGATCACCTCTGCCCGCTGCGTGGCGTCCGCATCGGATGCTTAGCGTGTCCGCATCGCTTCATGCGAGACAAATAACTGGGCCTCGCTGTCTACCTCCCTTGAATCATGCAGAGAGTACACGTTCGTGCCATTCGTCCAGTGTCGGCAGGGTTGGGCCCGTCTTGGAAAATGACGTTGGATTTGAACTACCGGATAGAAATTTAGGATAGGGCCTCGATTAGATTCATTTTAAAATTTAAAGTTTTTTCACTCTCTTTTCATCATATTATTTTTGAACACATGTATAGAAGCATTAAATATAGGTAAAAAAAAATTAATTATACAGTTTGATTATAAATCACGAGGCGAATCTTTTTGGCTAGTTAGTCCATGATCGGACAAAGTTTGTCAAATACAAACGAAAGCGCGTCTTCTGTTGTCAGATTGCAAAAAATTGCAATCTAAACAAGGGCTAAGAACTTGTTTAATGAGGGGCTAATTAGCCACTTAAAATTAGTCTTACATTCTATCTAAACGCAAGGGTTAACAAGGAATTTACTTATATTTCAACCAAGAAATACTAATATTTTAATAATATATAACATGTCCCAAACTAAATTTTTAGTACTAGCCATTTTAGTCCATCAAATCGACTCGCGATTACGGTCACGCCACATGTATTGGTATGATTCATTGCACACACGCACATCGTCACAGAACTTTCCATGTAGCCCGCCAGCATGGAGCTGGAGTCACGTTATCTCTGGTGTGAATCACTCGATATTTTATACCTTTTCTTGTCGATCAAAAATAAAGAAACTAAAGACCTCCGAAGATTCTATAATTTTTTTATTTATATAGATACTATAAAAAATTAAAGACAGCCTATTTTGTTTGGAATTGGTATTTTATAGTTCTAAAATTAAAATTCTTCATAAAATGTTATATTTAAGGTTTCACTTAAGCTATTTTTCCTATCGATCCAAAGTAAAGAACCTAAAGATCTCGAAATCTTGTGATCTTTTGAGTAGATACTAAAACATCAAGTGCGACTCATTTTGCTTCTATCTAGCATCATAGTGTTTGTAGTTTTGATCAAAATTTTCTCGGTATTCTATATTTGAGTTTTCGGTTAAGTTATTTAGCACCAAAGCTAATTCAAAAAATCCATATAAGTTCTTGGTTTAGATAATGGATTTTTTCATGTAATTTCCTAGCATATATGCTCAAGTGAAATCCAAAGTTCCTTAACAAAGCACATGCTCAAAATTAGGTTCTAACATGAAATCGGATTTAAAAACGTCCAAAACAAACTTAAAATTTTGGTTTTAGTGATGGACAAGTTATTTACTTCTTAGGGGAACAAAAAGTTCGATACAAATTTTGGTCAAAAAGGGTTTCAAATTTTGAATAAAAAACATAAATCATCACTTAGACTACTGAACTAACTCTGAAAGTGAGGTTGACTTTGACATATTGGCAGACCACATTCTCCAATTTTTGCTTAACAACAAACTCTAATGCCAACATCGAAAATGTATCTTATACATAGCCACATAGGAGAACAATAACAGAGTGAACACTAGTTCAAATGTTGTCACCCAAGATCATGTACCAAGAAATAAAATGGCAAGCTCATCTTCATGACTCTATGTGTTAGGTGACTTAGAGCTTCACTCTTATCGTCAGAACAACGCAAAGTATGGTATTATCTTTCAAAATTTTGAGCTTGTTTTGAACTCTTTTAAATTTGATTTTACATTTAAAACCTATTTTTGAGCATATGTGTCGGTGCGAAATGTGGCCAACAAGTAAATATTTGTAGTTTTGCGTGCGTTGTGATCGGATGTGGCCTAACATTCAATGACACATGATTTATACTAGTTCAAGCAAGCAGTCCCTACGTCCGGTTGAGGTCGGTCGGTGACTTTATTCTGAGCCATTGTGCCGTAGTGGGAGGAAATTTGAGTGAATCTGGCGCTTGACCTCCGTGGGGAGGAGGATCAAGGCGAGGGCATGGCGCGTCGTCGGAGGATATTCGCGCCCAGCCCTCGAGGAGGAGCCTCGTTGGTAATCCATTTTCCACCGGGTGCTTGCTAGCACCCGGTGGGGTGTAGCCCGAACTGCGGCCGATCGGAGAGTTGGTCGAGGTCGAGCATCTTGGTACTCTTTTTTGGGGCTGCGGACTCTTGTGTCTCTTCCGATTGGGGTGTTCGCTTAGTGTCTGTTCACCGCAACTGTGTGCGGTCGGTCGGTTTCTGAGTTGGGACTGGCGGCTTGAGCCCCCGAGCCACTAGGGTTCGATCGGGGTAAGTCGGATGATTTCTGCGTCACCCGTCCACGGTTTCCGCAAACCGAGGGGTTGAGTGACGCCACTTGTCTCGATGGCTCGAGTGACGAGCGGTGAGCTTGCTAACGGGTATGTCCGAGTGGAATTCGGATCTGTCATTCAGAATG